GGGGCGGGGGGGCCCCTCTCTCTCTCTCTCCCTCCCTCCCCCTTTCCCTCCCTCTCGCGGGTCGGACCGAGCTGTTCCCAGTCGGGGCCGCTCGGCGCAGGGCAGCGCCAGGGAGCCGCCGCGGGGCCGGGCTGGGGAGGGAGGGAGCTGTCCGCGCTGACACCCGCGGCGCTCGGGCTTTCCCTGCTCCCAGGCTCCACTTGAAGCTCGCGGGGCCACGACAGCTCCTGTCCCCCTTCACTGCCTCGGCGTGAGCGCCACTGCAAACGGCCGGAGCCGCCCCGGGCGGCACACGTGCCTGGCCCGCCCGGCCCTGGGGCGTCGCAGGCAGGCAGAGCCCCGGGGGCGGAAGGACCGGACAGCTCTGCCGCGCTCACTGTTGGGTCTGGAGGCGACTCGAGTCGCGGCCACAGCAGCTGCGGGGCTTTCGGCAGGGGAGAGCAGGGCTTTGCTCCTTTCCCTTCCTCCCCGCTCTCTTTGCTTCCAAGGCAGGGCGCTTTTCCCCCAAACAGGCTGCTGCTCAGGTCCAGCCTTGATGGCTACTTTGCATTTTTCCCCCCGATGTTGAAGCTTAACTTCCCCTAGACAGGAATTTCTTTCCAGCTACCCAACACACATTCATTACTTTCAAGAGCTCTAGTTCAGTTGCCAAACTTAAATGTTCATGTGTCAGGGTAGATTCTCAGTAGGGCCAGCTGTTATCCAGCCTCCCGCTGAAAACCTCTACACTGAGGTGCCAGTCTCCTCAGCTTCTCTCTGTTTTGGTTTAGTCAGTTAATGCTTTTCCTTAGAGTTTCTCTGCCAAGGATTTCCTGTTTTTATTTTCTGTTTTCTTCTTAACTGGTCATGGTTTGAACATCCTGGAAGAAAGCTCAGCTTCTGATAACTCCTTGCTGGTTCAAACTAAATTACTGCCATGCAACAGTCCTATGTTACTAACTACCCTGCTGCCTCAGATCACTGGAGATATCAGAAGTTGAAAGCTCTTCTGCTGATGTATTGAAAAAGATGTGTCAATTACTGCTTTTTACATGAATATGATAAGCTCCCACTTCTATCACAGTAACATTTGTAGTAACATTCTCCCATCAGTGCAGTAAGGATAACTTTCTATAGTACAGGTTTTACTCTTCAAGTTTCCTTGAGGTTTTTTTTTTTTCCTGGAGAACGAGTTTCTTCTCCAGTCCCTTGGTGTAAAAAAAAAAAAAAATCCCAGTTAGCTGTATTTATTTTCTAGAGTAACTTTGGCAGGAGTTCTGTTCAGAAGGCCTCCGTACTAAAATCTGCCCAAGCATTAAGATGTATTGGGTCTGCTGTTTCATTTGGTTTGAGTTTCTCATTTTTATATCTTTTAGGACTTCCAGGGAAGACTGAGTGGATGTGAGATTGTTTTTAATGCATTATACCTGAGAACCTACTTAAATTGCTGTTTTGCATTTTTTGCAGAAATTGTGAAAATTGGCATTGGCGGTGATATCCCAGGAAATTGACCAAAAAAAAAAAAACCCTTTAAAAAGAAAATGCTGGCTCCTCAGTGGGAATTAGCAGTTCTTGCTGCTGCTGTGGCCTGCCATTGCAGCCCACCCGGGAGGGGAAGGCACCAGCTGGTGGGCAGCACAAGGAGCATCAGCCAAGATACTTCCCCCTCGTACCTCTCTACCAACCAGTGCCAAGGGCCAGGTTGGCACAAAGAGTTGCCAGTAGTCAAGATGTCAGCTTCCCCTCATCCTTCCTCCCCCAGGGCCTCTCCACCAATCAGTGCTGAGGGGAGGGGCCACCACAAATGACTGCAAACTCAGCTCTTGGGGCTGTGACCAAGCCATGAAAATTGCTTTCTTTCACTGCAAGTTGGGTAGGTCCCTAGTTATACATTGTGTGATTGGCCCAGGGGTCTGATCAATCCAGGAACCCATGTCATTCAGCCTTGTGGGTTCCCCCTGGATCTGAAAATTTGGTGGTCTGGAGGTGATTGATGTTTACAGTGTTAGTTGCTGCTTCCCTGCCGCCAGATTTCTGGACTCACGCAGAGCCTAGAAGGCCAGATAGCATGGCCCTGTGCATTAGATCAGCAGGGCTGGGACAAAGCAGCATGGGGCCAAATTCAGGTGTGCAGGGCTGGGTTGAGGCAATGTGGTGTCTGATCTGGGCATGTGGGCTTGGGCTGAAAGCTTCATGGGGCTGAGCTGAGGAGAGATTGCAGTGTCTGTAACATCTTCCCACTCACTTGCCTATAACAAAACATAAGGAAATGAATAACTGAATCCTTGTCAGGAGGTTATCGACACCTTGGTGAATACTGTCATTGTGGTAGATAACCTAAACAACAGTAGATTCCATGACAACTGAATACATTTTTGTTGCTGAGAGGAATAAAAGGGACTCAGGATTTGTTGTAGGCATATGGATTAAATTCCAATTTACATGTTTATAGAGAGAACTTACTTTGTTCTTTGTTTATTTCAAACGCACAGCCACCTTCTGTATTTTGTATCCAAATAGTCTTTCCCCTGTGAATTTGGCCTTAGTTAGGAGCCAATAGCTTTGTTGTATTTTCAAGCCAGCTGCAAAGATGCTTGTGTGTCACTAAGTTTACTGATAAGTGATAGGATCTACATTTCAGTTGGGATTTGTAATTAGGTTTGTTTTTTTTTTAATTCTTGTTGGAAGAAGGGAAAGTTCTTTTCATCCTTTTTATGTGGTCCTTCATATATCAAAGCAAGCCTCACCTTGTCCAGATAGTAGTCTTTAACTGCTAATATGAAAGGTTAGACAGCTTATTTTCAGGAGCCTGACCAAAGTTCAGGTTTCTCTGGGCCAAAATTACGATTCCAGATAAAACTGAGCAAACAGAAGTGAGTATCCTGTTAGCCCTTAAGAAACAGAGCGGGTTGGTGGGGGAGTAGTTTTTGATTTGCAGCCAGCTTATCTGATATACATAGTGTCATCCTTTGAGTGGTTAGAGATGAGTTTCGTCAGGGTGGAGGGCTGATTGATGCACACATTGTGGTGGCTATGGTATGAGTAGAAATTCCAGGTTCTTAGTATATTAGCTGAGAACTACAGAATGAATTAACACCTGGTATTCTTGTTCTTTTAAAGTTATTTCTACAGCCTGCTCATTGTCTCTTATAACCAAAAGACAATGTCGTACTTCATTAGTCTAACATCTCTGTAGTAGTCCAAGTTCCTGCAGTGGTATCTAAGCTCCTTCTGTGTTTCACCATAGGTATTCATTGCCAGCT